ACTCACTCATTCCTCTCAGTAGTTTGGGGGAGAGAATCAGAAGGGGGAAAATGAGAAAACTCATGGGTTGAGATAAAGACAGTTTAATAGGTAAAGCAAAAGCTGCACCCACAAGCAAAGCAAAACAAGGAATTTATTCAGTGTTTCCTATGGGCAGGCAGGTGTTCAGCCATCCCCAGGAAAGCAGAGCTTCAGCTCCATAGCTCCATAGCGATGACTTAGGAAGACAAACACCATCACTCGGAATGTCCCCCAGTTCCTTCTTCTTTCCCCAACTTCATATGCTGAGCATGACAACATATGGCCTGGGATATCCCTTTGGTCAGTTGCAATCAGATGTCCCAGATGTGTCCCCTCACAACACCTTGTGTACCACCAGTCTCCTCACTGGTGGGGTGGGGTGAGGAGCAAAAAAGGCCTTGATTCTGTGAGCACTGCCCAGCAATAACAAAAACACCTCTGTATTATCAACCCTGTTTTCAGCACAAATCCAAAACACTGTCCCATAACAGCTATTGTGAGGAAAATTACCTACCCCAGCCAAAACCAGCAATCCTGCTGATTTTTAAAAGCAATGGGTTCATTCCAGCAGCTCTCAGCATTCAACAGGCCAAAGCAAATGAAAAGTGTCTGATTATATGTTCTGAGTGCAAAATTTTACCGAGCTTGTGTGTCAATCTCTGCTTTTAGTAGCAATAATGTGAAGTCAGAATAGTTACGGTAATCTAGTGTGAATCAAATGTGTGAAACTATCACAAATTTGCATTATATTATCTTGGGGTAGGAGTTGAGGCAGCAAACATGTAAAAATGTACTTTGCTACAACAGAACTCGGACTTATACTGATAATAGCCATACAGAACAGTCATACTGTTCTGTTACACCCAGTGCAAATCTGGTGAATGGAACAATAGCAGACAAAAAAAAATTAATAAAATGCTTGTTACTACAACTGCTCAACAGTATCACCATTTCCTCTTGTGCTTTCTTAAGTTTCCCAGGGGCAACGCTGAAGGGGAAAAAAAAAGCCCAAAGACACGATTCAGTCTAAATCTTCTGGGTTCATTCACATAGAAAACACTGCACATCAGTCCAGACACAAAGCACCAGCACTGCTGTTAAGCTTTGGGATAATGAAGGGTAACACATCTATGGAGCAGTCAATGGAATGCACACTGTAAATCAGGAAAAGCAATAGCCACTCATGAACAGTGGTAATTGGGATACAACACTGAGAGCCAATCAAACAGCACAGGAGAGTTACGGCTTTCATGTGAATAATTTATTCTTTTATCAATTAAATTTTACCAGGTACTTATTTACAAAGAAACTTTTTTGTGGACAGAATTTACATCAGCTACTGCACAATTTTATTCATTACTAGGATATGATTAGCATCCTTCCCATGTTGCTTAACAGTGTTGGTTTTGATCAAATAGGGTTATTCTTTTCCCAATTATTTGTTTGGTTTAGTTTCCAAGTGTGAACAGAATTTGAACACATGCCTTTGCTACAATTAAAGATTTCTTTTTACAGAACTAGTTAGTAGATGGAAACAGTAAGGTTCCACCTGTTATTAGCATTTCTTTATTGAAGTTGGGATTTAGTTTTAGATTCAATGAAGGCTTTAGGCATTTCCACGTTAGGCACTACAATGCCTCTTTACCGAGACGGCACCCCTGAGAAGAATTCAAATTACCTGCTTGGCCTCCCAGTACAGTGCATGGAGTAGCTCACCTTGGACTGGTAACCCAAAATACAGAGCCTGTCTGCAAAAGCTTTCCAAAGAAAACTTGCCCAAATGTACAAACATTTACTACATCTGTCCTGATTTACCCATCCAGGAGCTGGAGCCTGGAATTTACCCAGAACTCAATGTGGAGGAGCCTGTGTGTGCTTTTGGAGGATTTGCAAGAAGCTCACCCCTGAAAAAGAATCCAGGAAGTGGTCCCAATACAGTTCTTCTCAACAGTCATCTAGATCTGAAAATGCACACACGTGCGCGCACACACACATGAAGTGCAAGGCCTCACTTCAGCCCTTATTCAGCTTAAGGGAATTCAAGTCTAAATCCTCAAGCAGATGACCTTGAAAACAGGAGTACTCTAGGAAGGAAAAATTATTGCCTAAAAAATTAGAGCAGAAAAATTATCTCCTGCATGTCCCACTAAAATGGGAGGACTGGAAGATTCATGGAGAAGAAAGATGACAGAGCAAACTATGTCTCTCTGGCTAGTCTCCAATTCGTCAGTGAGGATGAGGGTTTGAATTTACCTACCTTGATAATTTGTGAGATTTTTTTAGGCAATTAACATACAATACAAAATGCATAAACATTTAGAGATCAGGGATTAGCTCCAAGAGGTCCTTTAGTCCATTGACAATGAGGCAGTGGAAGATGTAGATTGAACGTTTGCAGGCTAAGAAAGCACACACAGATCTCCATGTTCCCATGCAAATAGAGTAGCCTTCAGTCGACTCTAGATAAAACAGCTTTGTCTTTAAAGCAAAACATATGCAACTTGAGGGTGGCCTGGCCCTTTAATCTGTACCATAAAACCCTATTAGATCAGTGGCTTCTGGGTATCCCATCATCTAGTTTCAAAGGAGTTGAGGTGGTCCTTAGGTAGGTGTGGAACTGCTCCAAGGTGGGCAGTTCTGAGTGAGTGGAGGAGAACTGCTCAGCACCTCTACATGTCCAAGGGACAGTTGTGGCTAGGTTTAAATTCAACTGAAGAGTTCTGGGATGATAATTTTGGTCTTCAAATGCCTGAAGATTACCTAAATTCTGGTTTTTGTGCCCAAGTTTGGTGGGGTTGTTTAGGTGAAGATATAATTGGGGGAAAAAACAACTCTCAGTAAATCTGCCTAAGGCTTACCAGGGAGGAAACAGAGGCCACAGAGTAGGAAATCTGGCTAGAAACATGCCTCTGTTGTCAATCATCAGGCTGTGACTATGCAGAGTGTACAAAGGAAACAGGTTTGATAGACAGCTGCTAATGAAGCCCAGACTGCCTCCATTCACACTGTGTAAACAGTGAAAGTAGGTAAGCACTTGATTCAACCCTTTCTAAAAATAGGAGCTAGCAAAAATACAAATCACTGCAGGTTCATTGAATGCTTAGTACTGTAGAACTTATGTCCAAATGTATTTCTTCAGTGTACAGCAACAAATACTGGAAGAAAGGATATGGTTCATTCTTTCACGAAAGTTTGCAGCTATTTTCACAGCTTAAATCATGGAGACTTCCCAAAACTCGTTTAAAAGCATTTTCATGCATTAGCAGGAATGAAAGTGCTTAATTAATGCTTAATTAATAGGAATGCAAAAGCTGGCTTAATGCCTCGTTATGCTGTAGTATAGGAACTATACTACGTAATACCTTGAACTATGAAATTGTATTGTATTGCAAGATAAAACAGACATTTCCTTGTGTGTGTTCCTGATGACTCTACTATTTCAAAATCTGACCTAGCACTTATGCTAAGTTTAAGTATGCACCTAAGTGTTTCACTACCCAGCTTGAAATACTTTCTATAGTTAACATAAAAATTATGCCAAAGGCAAACACATACTTTTTCTTTCCTGCTCAAGCTACAGTGCTGTAATTTAATTTAGAGTCAACATTTCCAAGGATTCTTGTCTGAGAATTAAATCCAACACTCCATGAATGGTATTAAATTCCATGGCACCAACCTGTACTGAGGCTAAGATAAACATCACACTCTGCAGGCCTACAGCTCCTGCCCGGCTGATGCTTTAATTAGTTCACTAGGGAATAGGCTCACTAGGCTAAGAACTTCTAGGACTGGACCACTGTTTTCTATAGCATGGCTAACCAGATCAACTGTGTTAAAACCCTGTGCAAGACAGAAGGAGAAAAGAAAAAAAAAATTAAGCGAACAAAAGAAGTATCTACAAACCTCACTACTCTCTTTTGTAAAGATGGTGTCTCTTAGGACAGAGCCTGCTGTCTTCCTTTGGAACTAGCAATTACATATAAGAATGCTAAAGTCCTGTTTAACAAAAACATCTTAATAAAACATAAAAAAATCTGCTTTCTTTGATGTAAGGTCCCTATGTCTTTCTAAAATATGAATCTATACAAGAACTTTGAGTAAAAACAATTCTCTTCCACAGTCCACGCCAGTTCCACACTGAGTATACAGTGATGTACTAGCAAAAACACAAGTTCCTTTTTTCAGAAAAGGTTTCTCAGTGATTTACCATAAAGCTAAAACATTTGCCTTGCCTGCTGATTTTTTTGCAATATAAAATGTATAAAATAAATGCATGTGTCCTTTTCAATATAGTCTGTCTATGTAGACAATTTACTCTTTTCCAGTTCTGAGTAACATGACAACTTTCCACAGGCAAGAAGGAGCTTTGTATGGTTTTGTCTCATTAGGATGCTGCTCCAGAAACAGCTCTCTTGGAAAGCTTAGAATCACAATGACGGCGTATGCTATCAGCACGTACTGCATTTAACAAGGACTTATTGATTACAATAATCATGAGATCAAAATAAATAAAGCAGTCTCTCAATCAAAAGATAGGGAGGTAACATCATGCTAGTGCACAATATAATCGACATGTGTTGCGCATTCCTATTTTCCATGTCCTCCTTTGATGGTCTCGAACCAAGCTGGAAAAGCCTCTTGCCACAGGATACTGAACATACAGTGAAACATTTAAGCTGTTTACAGTCAGTTTCAAAGAACTTACATTTGGTTTAGGTTAACCTTCCTTGACCTGCAGTTAATTAAAGAGCAGATGAAGTACAAAGTTCTTCCCCAGCTCTAGTGGCATACATGGTCACATCAACTGGCTGCAGTCTGAACAGCTTCAGTTCATTTTTGTTATAATTTAAAATCTCTGATTAAAAAACAGTAATAAAACAATGTCTTTTTATAAAGAAACCGCTGCCTTTTTCAAATAAAGAACATATCAACATTTCATATGTGCTATAATATGCCACATTTTAAAAAGGTAACTCGACTTTTTTTTTTTTTGTATTCCAAGTAAAACATGTGGCACTCATTTCAGTTACTTAAAACTTTAAGTCTGGTATATGTTAAATCATCTGTGGTTGAAATTCCCGGGACCACACAGTGCCACATCTTCCTTAAACCATCCATTGCACCACAAATGAAAGGCTGTGACGGAGATGTTCTTCCTATACTTTTTTGACACAGGAAATAGCTGGTTTAACATACAAACAAATTCAGCTAAACTATGTTTATCCCTCAGTATCATCCTAGACAGAAAAAAACCTAACAGTAGAAAAGGCTCCAACCCAGACTGCAATATGCACAAACACACAACCAACACTAACGTCCCATTATGACACTGTTGTCAGGAATATTTTAGATATCCAGGTGTAAAAACATTTTTCTCAGATTGGGAATTGGCACAAACATAATCCAGAGATTATCCAATATAGCAGCTTTTACTTTCATGTGCTTGGTTTTTCACACAAAGCACAGCAAACGTGAGAAGAGTTACAACCAGCTCAAAATCCTGGGAGCAGAGAGGAGGAAAGGGGGAGCCCCTCTTCTCTGCAGACTCACCAGGGGGAATCCCCTCTGTAGGTGGGAGTTTGTGGGTCTCCCACAGCTGCAACCCAGCTCCCCTCTCAGGAAGCCAGAGCCAGGCTGACCATCTCACAGTGGGAGGGAGCCCTCCTGGTCCCCTGCTTTGTCCAGCCTCTCGGGCAGGGTAAGCACAAAGGGTAGGAGAACACCCTTGACATCCAAGGGAGCTTTAAGAAGCTCCCCGTCAAAAGTGCCCTTGAGCCCACCATCCGCTTCCACCTCGCCGTCCTGGGCTAGGCTGAAGCGAAGGGTGCCGGTCCGGTTGACGCAGTAGATGGTGTTGCCCAAGGGGGCACAGCGGAAGGGCTGGATGGGGCTGCTGCTGGGCCGCAGGCTGGCGCACTGGCTCCAGCACTTGGCCACTGTGTTGTACCGGAAAACTTCGACACCACCAGCGGCCCCACCACCTGGGCCCGGCTCCCCACCACGGCCACTGCTCACATCGAAGCGGTAGATGAAGCTCTTGAAGGCCACCATGTCCGCTGAGCGCCGGCGGCTGCTGTTGTAAGGGCACTCCTGCCACTCGTCACGCTTGGGGTCATATTTGAGCAGGCGGTAGAAGAGGGAGCCTCCTGACACATAGATCTCCCCATTGCAAGTGGTGGCCTCATGAGCCACAGCGAAGGCACCCTTGGGCAGAGGTGCCACAGGGCTCCAGCGGTCAGCCCGTGGGTCGTACTTCTCCACAGTGAAGAGGCACTCACCCCCCACAGCATACAGGTAACCATCCAGGGCCAGCAGCTTGAGCTGCGAGCGGGGCTGGGCCAGCGGCCGCACCTGGCTCCAGGTGTCAGTGAGGGGGTTATAGCAGAAGACCTTGTCGGAAAGGCGGGCCCTGGGCTCGCTGCCCACCGGCCCTGTCACGATGCCCCCTGCTAGGAAGAGGTAGTTGTGGAGGACACACATGGCACAGCCCTTGGCATTGGCTTCCTCGGGCAGGCGTGTCAGCACCCTCCACTCGCCGCTGGCCTCCTGGTAGCAGTGGATGAGGGAGCCCACTCTCCTCCAGGGACACCACGGAGGAGGGGGCTTTGCGGCCGGCTGCTTTCGCGCTCTGTGGCCGGCTGCCGGCCACCTTGGCCGCCTCGAAGGCATCGCTGACCTCGCCACCAGCAGGCCAGGGCCGGGCCTCCATGCGCCGCTGCAGGATGAGGTCCCGCTCAGTGCCGCTGAGGCGGCCATACACGCTGGGCTCCCGCGCAGCACCTCCAGGTAATGGTCGCTCATGAACGGGTAGGCAGCCTCCCGTAGCTCCGCCAAGCCGCTGCTTCTTGGCCAGGCAGAGGAGCTGGTAGCAGTTGCCGAGGCACAGCTGGGCGCGCATGGCCTCGGCGGCACAGTGCAGGGCACACGGCATCTGCAGGACGCGGGCGCCGCTCACCACCTCCGCCAGGTTGTCGTGCCGCACCTCTCCCATGCGGGCCGTGTACACGTAGTCGATGAGAAGCCGCAGCGCCCCGTAGCTCACCCCCTTCACCCGCAGGACGTCCCGGGAGGCGCGGGCACGAAAGTAGTCACTCTTGGCCGCCAGCACCGCCTTGTGCGCCCGAATGCGACGCCCCGACACCTCGATCACAAGGTCGCGGCTCCTCCGCCGGCCGGTCCCGCGGCCCCCACCACCTCCTCATCGTCCTCCTCCGGCTGGCAGGCCGGCGGTTGTTTGATCTCCCACTGGCTCTGTACCACCCGGGCCGCCGGCGCGGGCGCTGCGGCTCGGCGGCGGCCGCGCTGAAGCAGAGGGAGGAGCTGAAGCCGCAGGGGGGCGGCCGGGTGTGGGCGGGGCGGCGGGGGGGGGCGCCGTTCGCCGGCCCCGCGTTCTCCTCCTCCGGGGGCCGCCGCTGCCTCCAGGGAGCCCTCCATGGAGCCGCGCTACCTCTGGCGGCGCCCCGCGCCAGCCTGTGCGGAGCGCTGCCGGCCGCGGCTGGGCGGCCATCACCTGCGGGGACAACACAACAGCACTCAGCATCCGTGCTTGCCTCCGCTCACCCCCCTCCCCTTTCCCCCCGCTTCTCCGGCTTAATATTGGGAGCCGCTGCTCTCGCAGGCGGGGCCGTCTCTGGTTTCCGGGACTAAACCTCTGCTTCTGCTTTCCCCGGGGGATCCACCCTGCGGCTCTGCCGCCCCCTCTGCCCGGGGCTAACTGCGGTAGCTCAGCCCCCGAAAACCTGAGCTCTCTTGGTGGGACGGGGGGTCGCCCCGATGAACACTACAACAACCTGAAAAGCAATTTTGTTTTTCCTGTAGCTGTGCAAAAACTTTAAGCAGTTTGCAGGCACTGTATCCTTTTCTTGACAACTGGTCCCTACTCTGTGCTGGGTGATGAGCAAAAATGTCCTTAAGAGGCAGATACTCAGGAGTACTACCACAATGTATTCACCTTGTGCAACTATTTCAGTGGAAGGCTGGGGCTGCAATTGATTCTGGAAGGCGATTCCCCACTAGTCAAGTTTGTCTTCGCATGACCTTTGTGAAGTATTCTTCATATCACTGCTCCTTATATGCATTCCCCCTGTTTAAAAGAAAGTGTAAAAAGCTGATTAGTTTTAAAATCGATACATTCTCTGTTCACTCAGAAGTTTGGGACTACTAGAGCAGTGCTTCCTTTAATAGGATATCTAGAGTATCTCAAAGAAACTATAACTATGGTAATAATTCTGTTTACAAAAGAAAGGATTTTTTCTGTTGTTAGGACAAGCAATTTCACACTTATGTAGCTGTAATTCATTAGCAAGGTGTAAATCGGATTTCCTAAGTCTGAAAGATTTATAGCTTCTGTTAATAAAAAGCAGAAACAAGCAAAAAAATCACAATAGATAATTAGAATGTGAAGTCTCTTCTGGGAAACGGCAGGCTACAGGGCATGGCTGCAAGTAGGTTAGTCCCCATCAGCACAATCACCACCCAGTGATTTCACAAATGTAGTTTTTAGAATTTAAAAAAGTGCCATTTGTTTGCCTCATGTTTGTTTATGAATTTCCCAGGCTCAGTTTAGGTTTTGATGAATGACACATGAAAATTGTCCAAATGTACTTAATTTCATTTAATAAGTATCTGCAGCTCTGATTCTATGTTTAAGGAGGTTATTATTTCCATTCAAATCCCTGCTAGCAGTTTTTTCACAGTTCTCAAGGAACACTAATTTCTATGTAAAATATGCATTGTGACTTTCTTTCAGCAGAGATGATTCATTTACCTTATTAAATTAATATTAGGAAAATCTAACTTTCTGATTTTTTTTTTTTTAATTACTGGAAGCATAATTGGTAAGTGACATTGTCTGGAAACCCCTGACATGTACATGAAACCTAGAAGCTCGTACTCGCACATGCATTCATGGCTAGGCTTCGTGAATGAAGATTAAGGATTAAGGAAGGCTCTATCCACATTTATTACAGGCACGCTGGTGGCTAACGAGGCCAATACGAGACAGACATATCAGATTGCAAAAGGCACAGCAGAAAGACTCCTTAGAGGTGGTGTATTCCGCAAGACACGGCTCTTTCTGCATTGTCTTTTCTCCTCGAGAGTGATCCTGCGGGCGTTACTCGCACATGCAAACTATACTTAAATGGTAGTATCAGTCTTCTCTTATGGGTTTTTATTTTGTGGACTTTCCCTGTGAAGTGCTTTCTACATTTGATCACATTCAGTTAGACTGAATCAATGCTGATGCTTGATTTCTGGGCACTTGAGACTTTGAGACCATAACAAGGTTTCAGTAGCATTTGAATATTCCTTACTAGAATGAGCAGATTTCACAAACTTTGTATTCCTCATCTTGGTGTTAAAAAATCTGGCACTTAGGAACTTTTTATGACATTGTATGAACTTCGGATAGTCTTACTGGCAAATTTCCTGCGGTCTAGACCCAAACTCTGTAGGTCAGGTTTTACTGAGTTTTCTATAGCTTTAAATAGACAATGAGAAATGCAGTGATCTGTGTGTACACTTGGTGTGTCTGTGGAAGATGTATAGATTCATTATTAACTTTAACTGGGCAGCATCCCTATTGATGTGATTGTTTGTCACTGAGCCTTCACATACTGAATTCACTATGTAACCATGTTTTATGCTACTTTATTATGCCGTAGACACTGAGATTAATCTTCTTTTTGCTCCAGGCCTTCAGAGCCCTGATAATCAGCTTTCTTCAAGAGCAACAACTGTAACTGACACTGGTGAAATGACAAAGGTCCAGTAGAGGTGGCTAGGAAAACACCAGGAATGCCAAGCTCAGATGTACAGTTATATTAAGAAAATTGCTACAATGTGACACAAGTAAGTAATTAAAACATTTTGTGTCTCCTCTGCTCTTTCTTGGGCTTAGTTCCCCAATATTTAATCCTTATCTTGATACAGTTCTGGATAGCTTGAACTCCACAATCATGAACATTCAGTGCATTCTAATATACCTTCCCCCATTGCTCTCAATATTATGCCCTTTCCTGAAACACCTCACTTTTGACATCACTTTTACTTATGTTCCCCCACTACAAGAAGGAATGAGTAGCTTCAGATAGTTTCAAACTCTCAGTCTACAGCTTGATTTTGCAAGTGAAATTATAAAGGAAGAATGAAAGAGAATGCCACCAAAAATTAAAAGTGTGGGTGACTAAATGTGAGAAGTCAAAACCAGTAACTGTAATACTAATAATATCTCTGTATGGTGAGATGTATTTCCTGCATTATGTCTCAAAAGAAAATCATCATTTAGAATATTCAAAGTTGTTAAAACAGCAATCAGAAAAAAGTGATCTTTTCAATTTTCTCAGCTAATGAAAAAAGAAAGGGTGACATCCTCCTAAACACAGTTATCATACCTTTCCTCATATTCAGACATCTGCTTGGCTTAGAAGTTTGACTTGACACTGAAGTGTTATTGAGATAGAAGCTGCCAGCCACCGCAGTTGTAACAAACACGTATATTAGCATTCTCCTGAGGAATCACAAGGAGAAAGAAGGACTGATGGTATGGCTTCCTAATGGCAAGCAGCAGAATTCTGAAGAAAATGACCTGCTGGTATATCTAAAGCTAACCACCAAGAATATGTTTAATTTTATGCTGAGCATGAACAGGACTTCAGTCAAAGTATCACATGCAATTAAGGCAACAAGGAACTCTACAGGGAAGCTGAAGATTTAGAAAAGGTGAAAGAGGGTTCGGAGGACTTTTGTCAACAACAGCAATGACCACTCCAGCAATCTCAGCACCTTTGTCTATCTGAAAACAAAATATAGGCATTACACAAAGATGAAGGTGAAAAAACAATTCAGAGAAGTTGTGGAACCTTCCCATTATTGAGCGACTTGCTTGATCTGAGTTAAAAGGTCATAGATTTAGTATAAAACAGGAAGATGCTGAAAGGGGCTGGTGGAAATACAATACTGAACTACTTCTCCATTCTTTTTTTATCTACAGTGATCAAAGAGTTGTATTGCTGTTCTAACAACACAGAACATTCAAAAGTTACAGAGTCACAGAAGATACTTGATAGCTGTGCTGATTCAGAAGAATCTGACCCCCTAACGAACTCATTCAGCTTCAAACAAACTTAGTTTTAGCACTTTTTTCAAAACTCAGAAACAGGATAGGTAGTGGAAAAGGAAGTAAGCTGTTTACAGGACACGGTATCTGTAGCCTAATGTCACTTTTTATACTGGGGACTTTTAAGTTAGAAGCTGAATTACTGTTTTCATTATCATGGGCTTGGTCTAGGGATGATGTAATGTTAATGGACAGAGGAGCTGCCAACAAACATGAACTGTATTTACAGACTTGGCAATGACACAATTACAATATCCTGGATGTGTGGCCCCAACCTCAGATGCTGTGAGACATTGCTCAAGTAACAGCACAGATAAGAAGGTGTAGTTTTTCTGACAGAGAAACTGTAATGAAGAGCTGCAGGTAAAGTTTCCTGCATTCATTTGGCAGTCCTTCTGATAAAATCCAATTAAATGCTTGTATTGCATTGTTCTCTATTTACTTTTTTTTGTGCAGTGCCAATAGCCTTTGACCCAAACCCTGTGCTCTGGCAAGACCCACTTTCTCTGGGGAATATGCGCATGTGGGAGGAATTGGGTTACTGCTCTGCAGTTCACAAATGAAAACTGCTCTGACTAAGTCTCAGGGTAAATAAAAGCAGTGCTTTCCCTATCATAAGCAACTCTAATTTACATATGCAGGCTGTCCTCCCAAAAGACACACCAGTTCAGAAATGACAGAATGCCATTCTGCTCCACCTTAGTCCAGGAAATGCTTTTGTAAAAATTTGTACTGCCAAATTTTACTTCAGTAGAGAATTCCCTTGGGATATGGGCGTCATCTGATTGAGATGATTAAGGCATCCAAAGAGGCAGGATCATCAAAAGAGAAAAAACATCCCTTGTATTTATTTTAAAAACTAAACGATGACTTCACACTGGCCAGTGTGAAGACATCCAGCTCAGACCAGAAGGCAAAATCTTCTAGGAGGCAGAGTCAAGTGTAGAGTGTTTATAAAAATAGTCTGTTACACTCCTGCTCATTGAGTAGATCTGTGAAATCTGGAGGAAAAAATGTTTTCTTTGTAAATGGGGAAAACATCCGGAGCATAAAGATGCCATTTTTCTGAGAGGGCTTGCACCAATTGAATTCTTGGATCCTAGTACAAATTTTAACTCTAAATCTTAACCACTTGATTAGCCTCCTGCTTGTAAAAAAACCCCACAGTTGTCTTTCAATGTGCCACCTGTAGAAATATAGCATGAAGAATAATTCTTTTTCTTTCCCTTTTTTAAAATTAGGAGTGCTCAAAACCGGGATTACAATACAATCCTAGTGTCTTGCCCTGACTGCCAGATGTATGTCTTTTGTAGTA